TCTATTATGTATGACTGATATAGTCTTATATTAGTTATTGTTTCTACTATGATAATTGATAATATAATTCTTAACATTATTATGACAATACTAGTATACTTCTTGCTTTAATTTTTGAGTTAATTTCATTGATGAGATGTGATATGTTATTTGTAAAAAAATCTTTGAAATTTTGGACGAATGATGTATTTAATGGTAATGAACTGGTGTGAAAATAGGTTGTGTGTGTTAAACAGGTCTGTGTTATGTGTGCTAAACAAGTTAAACAAATCATGTTATATGTGTTANTGAAAATAGGTTGTGTGTGTTAAACAGGTCTGTGTTATGTGTGCTAAACAAGTTAAACAAATCATGTTATATGTGTTAACCCGAAAACAACATGTTTATTAAACGTGTCAAACAGGTCAAGTTTGAGTAACTCGTTTAATAGGCAGGTCAAGTTAGTGTTTACACATCTCGACACGATTATTAAATATGTCAGGTTTGGGTTTTGAGATTTTTAACACAAACTCAAAATCAACCCGACACAAAATGACCTAACCTGACACGTTTGACACCCCTACATATATTTCATATTTTCAACATACATATAGGTTGCAAGATACATCTTATCCACTCACTTTCCTAGAATGTTAACCACATAATAAAACTCAAAACTCAACCAATTATATTCTCAAATCATCTAAATGTACTTAACAATTAAGTATTATCTAATATACTATTTTTAACACACACTCAATAGTGATCCATTACGCATGGGGGCTTATGCAATATTCTAGTAAACTCTCGAGAAAATATGTTAGTTACTGAAGAACTCTCAACAAAAGATCTTTAGAGCTAGATGTTTTGACATTCACAAGGCTGATTCACAAGGTTGATTCATTATCTCAGAGAACTCACTATTAGTTCAACGACGTCAATGATAGAGGTCAACAAATTAAATTATATAACTACATCGCATATATTATTACTCAAAAGAAAAAATTTAACTTGATGTGATAGTTCAAATGGTAACAAAGGCGAACTATAAAATCCAAGCGTCCTGAATTTAATTCTTGACAATCCCTTAGGATCAAGTCATGAGAAATTTATCTTTTATGAATATCCTAATCTTAGCGTGGATGGTTTGTCTTTGATTTGAATGGGGAGGGGATTAGTCGAAATAGGTATAAACTGGCCCAAACAGTCCTAACCATTAAACCGAAAAATAAAAAAAGGAAAAAACTTATTTTGGTATCTACAAGGAGCAGCACACTAGCTCAGTGTTGGAATCTAGAAGACTATCACACACTCACAAAAATATAATAGAAGAGACTATTGAAGATAAGAAGAACTCTTTTTATTCACTCATATTCAAATGAATGTATTACATAGGATATATATAGACTCTCATGACATACAAAATAACTCCACTACATAATGCAATAATAAAACTAATAAAGACTTCACTCCTCCATTACTTGGAGAATTAAAATACCACAATTACTTTGTCCCCCACTAATACCAAATTGATGACCCGCTAATACTAAAAAACTAAATGCATAAAAATAACTCTTAGAACATGAAAAGTCATGTTTAATATTATTTTTCCAACACCCCCCCCCCCTAACACATGATTTTTCTTCTCAACTCCAAGCAAACTTCTCAACTTGTAAAAGACATCCTCTTTGAGGGGTTTAGTAAAAATATCGGCAATTTGATTTTGAGACTTCACAAACTTGAGCTTCACCTCTTTCTTGGTCACATACTCTCTAATGAAATGGAACCTTGTGTCAATATACTTACTACGATCATGAAATACTGAATTATTTGCCAACGCTAGTCCCAAATTGTTGTCAATGAAGATCTTCGTTGATTCTTCTTGAGGCAAATGAAGCTCCTTCAACAAATTTCTCAACCAAATGTCTTGACAAACATATGATGTAGCCTCCACATACTCGGTTTCACAAGTCGAAAGAGTCACGATGGGTTACTTCTTTGACCTCCAAGCAAATGCAGTATTTCCCATGAAAAAAACATACCCGGTAGTACTTTTTCTATTATCCATATCTCCGGTCCAATCACTATCACAATAACCCGCAAGCTTGGAATTGTTAGAACAAGAATATAACAATCCATAATCAATTGTATCTTTGATGTATCTTAGAATTCTTTTCACCGCCTTCAAATGGGTCATGGTAGGAGCTTCTATATAGCGACTTACAAGACCAACACCAAAAACAATATCCAGCCTTGTGCATGTTAAGTACCTCAAGCTTCCCACTTGGCTCTTGAAATGGGTGAAATTCACATGCTCTCCATCTTCATATTTTGACAGTATTACACCACATTCAACAGGTGTGCATACCGGCTTACAATCTTGCATCTTATATTTTGCCAAAATTGCTTTAGCATAACATTCTTGAGAAATAAAAATACCTTCCTTCATTTGCTTCACTTCAATGCCAAGGTAGTATGACATAAGCCCAATGTCGGTCATCCCAAATTCTTTAGCCATTACTCTATTAAAATCTTCAAACATTCTTGGACAATTTCCTGTGAAGATCAAGTCATCCACATACAAACAAGTATAGAGTATATCACCAATATCATTCACCTTTGCATAAAAAACATGTTCATGGGGACACTTGGTGAAATTATTTGCTTGAAAGTACTTGTCAAGTTTACTATTCCAAGTCCTTAGTGCTTGCTTCAAACCATACAAAGCCTTTTTTAATTTCAAGACTTTCTCTCTTTGCCCTTTCACAACACAACCCAAGGGTTGTTCAACATACACCTCTTCATCAAGAAAGCTATTCAAAAAAGTGTACTTTACATCCATTTGATAAATTTTCTAATCATTTAGAGCAATTAAAAAAATAATCAATCTAATTGTTTTCAAACAAGTAACAGGTGCAAATACCTCATCGTAGTCAATACCCGGTCTTTGACTATAGCCTTTTGCAACCAACCTTGCTTTGTACCTCTCCACTTCACCTCTGACATTTTTCTTTTTCTTGTACACCCACTTCACTCCAATGACCTTTTGTCCTCTAGGGAGTGTGGCAAGTTCCTATGCTCCATTTCTTTCAATANTCTAAGAGTTGTCCCAAACTCAAAATATTATTTTTCATATTTGGAACATAAAAAATATTATAAATAACTTGGTGTTTTTCATCCTTGAAACGAATCAAAATATTACCTCTTCCCATTACCAGAATTTGAGAAGAATCTCCAAAAATGACTTTTCCACTCACCGATTCATCAAGCTCCATAAACATCGCTTTATTTCCATACATATGATTACTAGCACCGGAGTCAAGGTACCACACGTTCTTGTCTCCCTTTTGCTCTTTTTTGTATGCCAACAATAAGGTCGGCTCTACCTCTTCTACTTTGTCTTCAACAAAGTGTGTTATTTCTTCCATTAAATTATTTCTACACTCGGAAGCAAAATGGCCATATCGATGACAATTATAACATTGAATATGAGATTTGTCATACCTCCCTCCATATGACTTTGAATTGTTGCCTCTTCCACGTTCTATTCCACGATGTGATTCTTGGCCTCTTTATTATTTGTTGGACGCATTTTTGCCGAAGTTTTCTCCTCTACCTCGACCACGTCCACCATGACCTCCACCTTCACATCCACGCCCTCTACTTCTTTGACTTCCATCTTGCCTTCTTTCTTTGTCTTTGAAAGAAAGCTTGGTTTGTAGCACTTGCTCCAACGACTCTTGCTTCTTCTTGCCTAGCCGTTCTTCATGGGCTAACAACAATCCCATTAGTTCGTCAATCGTCATTGTGTCTAAATCTTTAGACTCTTCAATGGCTACGACAATGTAGTCAAACTTGGGGTCCAATGAACGAAGAATTTTTTCTATCACCCGGGTATCATCATAGTGATCATCATCATAAGTTCACAAATTATTCACAACCACCAAGATTCTTGTGAAATAATATGAAATTAATTCGGATTCCTTCATACGTAAAGCCTCAAATTCACCTCGTAGAGTTTGGAGGTGAACTTTTTTGACTTTTTTCACTCCACTATGAGCAGTTTTATGAACATCCCATGTTTGCTTGGATGTAGTTGCACTAGCAACCTTCTGTAGCATAGCATCATCCAAGCATTGATGGATGAGTGAAAGAGCCTTTTGATCCTTTTTCTTTGTAGCTTGCAAGACTTCCTTTTGAGCTTGACTTAAGGAAGCTTTATCTTGCGGTGCTGTGTAACCAATTGTTACAATCTCCCATAAATCTTGAGATCCAAGAATTGACTTCATGCGGATACTTCTTTTCAACACTAAANTGCTGTGTAACCAATTGTTACAATCTCCCATAAATCTTGAGATCCAAGAATTGACTTCATGCGGATACTTCTTTTCAACACTAAAACTTGGCTCTGATACCACTTTGTTGGAATTTAAAGGATTATCACACACTCACAAAAATATAATGAAAGAGACTATTGAATATAGGAAGAACTCTTTCTATTCACTCATATCTAAATGGATGTATTACATAGGATATATATAGACTCTCATGACATACAAAATAACCCTACTACATAATGTAATAATAAAAATAATAAATACCTCACTCCTCCATTACTTGGAGAATTAAAATACCACAATTACTTTGTTCCCCACTAATACCAAATTGATGATCCACTAATACAAAAAACTAAATCCATAAAAATAACTCTTAGAACATGAAAAGTCATGTTTAATATTAATTTTCTAAGACTCAGAGAATATTCTATTTTCGTTTTCAAACGGAGAAGTATCATACACATGCTATCAAGTAAAAAAGAGAGACAGAAGATATGCCTTCGATAAAACAACCGAAATATCTCTGGAGTTTGGAAGTTTGTGGAGAGATTTTTTTTTCCCTAGCATAAATGTTGATTGTAGGGTTATAATTCATCTTATCTTCCCAACTTCATTGCTTGGTCCAAATATAATCTCCATAAAAGCTCTGAACCATAAGCAAAGGAGCCAACTTCCCCGGAATCAATGGCTTCCACTTCAACTCCCTCACAAGCTTTACAAAGTAATGCCCGGATAACAACCTTCCGACCATCGGAAACAACCAAAGGAGTCCACATAATTCGAAATATTTCATTCTCATTACCTTTGAATAAGTTTTCACTACGTGTAAATTCTTCTACCACGGCAAAATATAATGAAGTTGTGGTTGACGAAGAAATGGATAAGATTAGGAGGCTCCAAAATGGGTCGGACGTCCGCGGAGTAGCGGTGGAAGGCGAGAAAGGTCGAACGGTGGACCTCACCCCACCGGCAGTGGAAGCCATTGCAGAGAGCTTTGGCGAGTGGGTTATCAATAAGTTGGAAAGTGAAGAGGGCCGGAGAGTGGAGGAGGTTAGGGTGTCGCTTGGCCGGGACCCTAGAATCTCCGGTGCATCGCTGAGTGTGGCTGTGTTTGCAGGACTTGCTCGGGCTGGTTGTATGGCGTTTGACATGGGGCTTGCAACTACCCCAGCTTGTTTCATGAGCACAGTGTTGCCTCCATTTGAGTGTGATGCTTCAATAATGGTAGTGTAGATCAGCCTCAATTTTCACGGTTATGTTTCCTATTCAATGGTCCACATCAGATGGTAACAAACTTAGTCTTTGAATTTTAATGTGGGATGGTAATGCTTACACAAGTGAAATTTTTTAAAGATTAATATTATGCTTACCAAAATATTTACCAAAAAAATACTTTTACCAAATGAGTTGGCAACTCAATATCCAATCAAAAACATTTTGATTATCATTTGGTGGGTTCAAGAGTGACATGGAGCTGTCAACTCCTCATTTGGTAAAAGTATTTTTGGTAAAATTTTTGGTATGCATAGCATTTTCTATTCTTAAATGGGTAGTTTAAATGATAACTAGGACGAACAATAAAATCAGACGTCTTCTATTCGAATTCTAACAGTCTCTTGGGACTATAAGAGATTTATTTTTAATTAATACTCTAATTCCTGCGTGGATGATCTGTCTTTGATTGGACTAGAAAATAAATTAGTCAAAATGCACGTAACTTAACTCGAACACCTTTAACCTTTGATCAAAAAAAAAAAAATCTTTAGGTGAGTCAATTTTGCAATCGCTTTATTAGGACCATAGGTATGTCATCTATGTGAGACCACAAACAGTAGACTGCAAATAAAGGTATTTGTTAGACCGAAACTGGCCTTTTTCTTCTGTATTATCATTGGTATTATGTAGGATAGTGGGTCGGGTAGTGTTATGTGAGGTTTGTGTGTCAGAGTAAAATAGTATCCCGATACCCGGTTCATCTATACCCATAAATTGTTGGTTTCATGTCGTTCTAAAGTTTTATCCACCTGCCTACCCGACTCATTTAATCATTTGTAGCCAGGTTCATGTAGTGCATAAGTTGCGTATAGTTAGGTTTATAACAATCTTTCTACTTAGCAATTCTGGTGAATGAATCCATTTATAATCCAAATTATTAAAATTCAATACACATATCTATTTTTATTGTATCATATTCATGTCTGGATAGCGGCTCAATCAGCAATATGACTCAACCTGCATAAAGTATGACATTAGACAATTTATTTCAGAAAGAATATACTCTGACCTCCTTAACTATGATCTCGATCTCGTTATGCACTATGAACTATTGAATTTCTCACTATGCCCCTTTGACTATTTGAATTGGTTTTCCATCGCCTCAAAAGTAGTTATTCGTCATTTTTTGTACAATTTATTGAGACAAAATGGCATAATTTAAGGGTGAAGTGAAACAACTTTCCGTCTAATTTATAACATACCTTAATCATTAAGAAAATGTGAAACTAATAATATTAGTTGAAGGTACAATATGAAAAGTATTAGAGTTGAGGGGAAGCGTAAGATGAGAGCTATCATTAAGGGGGTCAAACTATAATTTGCACATTTATTTATCCAACAAACTATAATATTTACTTAAAATGACTAAAAAATGGATGTTGTTACTGCAGATGACTGCATCACACTTGCCATACACTCGTAATGGTCTGAAATTTTTCACCAAGAAAGGAGGTCTAACTTCTCCAGAGGTTGAGGAGATATGCGACAAAGCTGCTTATAAATACGCCAACAGGCTTGCAAAGGTGTCAACCACACTGCTCACTCCAACAAGAGTTGATTTTATGAGCACCTATGCCAACCACCTCCGAGACATTATCAAGAAGAGAGTCAACCATCCATTGCACTATGACACTCCACTTGAAAATTTTCAGGTTTCTCTCTCTCTCTCTGTCTCTCTCTCTCTCTCTCTCTCTCTTTGTGTGTGATTGTGTAGATACATGAATATGTGTTTGTAGTGTGCATGTGTGTGTATTTGCAGATGTCCCATCCATGCTTGCCCACCAGTTTTGTTCTCTCACATTACACTTTAAGCTATTGTTTTGTGTTTCATATTTCACCAACTGTTGACTTCAATTCTATGCAATTTTTCAAGATGAAACACTGCAAAATGGGATCCATAATTTTTGGAGATTCGTTGTTTCGCTAATCGGCTAGGCATAATTTTGTTTTTTTAATGACATGCCCTAAAAAATTTGCCAGAGTTCAACAACTGGGGCAATGTGATATTCAAACCAATAGTTTCTGGTGCAACATGAGAAAATGCAAAAAATTTTGGGTTATATGAAATGAGAAGTAAATTTTAAGGGGTTAAGTGTCATTTTTTCTACACTTAAATGGGAAATATTGGAGATTAAATAAAGAGAAATTGGAAGTATGCAAGACAAAACACACAATTTTTGAAAAATTCTAGGATGACATTAATTTTTGAAATGCAGATAATAGTAAACGCTGGAAACGGGTCAGCAGGGTTCTTCACATGGGATGTGTTAGACAAGCTTGGAGCAGACACGTTTGGTTCTCTTCACCTCAGCCCTGATGGAATGTTTCCCAACCACATTCCCAACCCTGAAGACAAAACTGCAATGGCCCTAACAAGAGCTGCAGTACTACAAAACTCCGCCGATCTCGGCATTGTTTTCGACACAGACGTTGATCGGAGTGGCGTGGTGGATAATGAGGGTAACCCCATCAACGGCGATAAGCTCATTGCGCTTATGGCGGCCATTGTTTTGAGGGAACACCCGGGAACGACGATCGTTACTGATGCTCGTACCAGCATTGCACTCGCTCGATTCATTAACAGTAGAGGGGGACACCATTGCTTGTATCGAGTCGGGTATCGGAATGTCATTGATAAGGGTGTTCAGCTTAATAAGGATGGGATTGAAGCACATCTGATGATGGAAACTTCTGGTCATGGTGCACTCAAAGAGAACTACTTTCTCGATGATGGTTAGTTTCTTCTCTTTCTGGTCCCATCCTATGATAATATATACCCTACTGGAAGGCTAATACTATTATAATCTAAAATTTTGACTTAATATACTGATATAATTACATGATTTTATTGTAACATTTGAATTAATATCAAATTCTAATGGAACACAATAATTATAATAAATTAAATCAGTAAATTAAATTTCAACAACGTTACTTTTACGAGAATGTCGTAAGACAATGTTTTGGATAAAAATGTAATTTAGGCGGGTTGGAAGGATTGGGAGATCAATATAGATTAGACCTAAGTTACAAAATCCCTCAACCCGAACTTAAATTCAACACGAATATTTTTCATGATTACATTTTTGAACTCATTATGCACATTCTTGGGCTAAAATTTGGGTTCACTTTTCATTAAAGTCTGGTTTAATTCGCGGGTTATTAACTCGGGACTAGAATGCGGGCTCAATTCTGCTTGGACCCAAATTTGGTCATCTAGATATACAAATTCAGGCTAGAAGTCGGATTTAAGGCGAGTTTAGTCTCCAAATTCTTGGACTACAACGCGAGTACCTTTAATATAGCTCTATTGTTTCTACCAATCTTGCTTAATATCATGTTGAATCTGATAGATTTTGCAATTAAATCCATAGGTGCATACATGGTGGTGAAAATAATTATTGAAATGGTACGTATGAAACTGGAAGGATCGGATGAAGGAATTGGTAGTCTTATAAAAGATCTTGAAGAACCATTAGAATCGATAGAACTTAGAATGAATGTCCTCTCGGAGCCTAGACATGCAAAAGCAAGAGCAATGGAGACTATTGAAACATTCAGAAGCTACGTTGAGGTATGTATCCATGCTTTTTCATTTTCATGTTATTTATTTATTTATTTTTTTGGATTGAGGTATCAGTAAAGCAATCTCAAAATGAAGCAATATTTTCATAAGAATAACTGCTGTATTTTTTTTATAACTACAACAAGCTGAAAAATCGTACTATGTCCTCTAAATTCCGACACGAAATTTCTTTAGTTTAATTTATTCGGATCATATTCATATTGAACCACTAAACATGCTTAACACTTATAATTTAAATGATTTATACACAATATAAACTTTACATAAGCAAATCACAAAGTTTACCCCAATTTGTAATCCCGACACAAAATTGGTCTGAAGTTATCGGATGTGTATTTAATCTTAATGGGTTTCAGTTGTGATTGGACTTTTGCCAAGGAAATTTTTCCTAGGGAATACCTTGTCGCGAGATTCGTCGAGCCCAGACAATTACCTACGAATTTTCCATTTCCTCGGTAAAAGTAAATTTTTTGCCGACAAAACATTTCCTATTCAAAAATGAAAATTTTTCTAAATAAAAAGCAGACTTTTACCGAGGGAAATTTTCCTAGGCAAAGGCTACGATCAACAAATCAGAGATTCATCCACCTCCAAATTTCAATAAATCTGAATGCCCGCTTTGTCACTGTCAGTAGTAATTGTGGATGACAATAGAGAAACTTCAGCAAAAGACTCGAAAGCAGTGTCATAGACCACGAAAAAAAAAATCTTCAAAAACAACCACCACAATAATGTTCAGATTATACGCAATGTTAGACTGCAAAATGAATGCAAGCCTTTTTTATTAATCTGCGCAAATAGATGATCAAAAGCTAGAATTATGTTTCTATTTTTCAAAAAAAGAAAGTGAAAATGATACATTTTTTTTCATTTATATTTGGTTGAATGGATGAAAAATATAAATAATTTTTTTTTTTTGGTGATTGATAAGATGAAAAAATATATTTTTTATTTTTTATTTTTATTTGTATTTTTTATTTTTTAAAATTTGTATTTTTAATTTTTTTTAAAAAAATAAAAATATAATTTGTATTTATATATGAAATTAATGTATACATAATGATAAAGGCTGAATTTTAAGTATGAACCGCCATAACCTCGGAGCTCAATAAGCCCAAAAGATCCTCGCCTGTTTATTAACCCAAAGGGAGAACCCCCGATCAACATACGTCGAAGAGTAGAGAGGGTCGAAAGGAGAGAGCCCAACAACACTAGAGGACCAGCAGCGCAGCCCAGGCCTAACTCAACGACTAGCCAAAGGATAACCCGGTATTGAGAAACCAAGTCCTCGTCCTGGGAGCACCCAACCATGCTACGTGTCCAAAGGATAGGGAGACCATATCTGACGCTTGTAATAGTTGCACCCTCTAAGACACAGAGAGTGATAGTGCGCTTAACGATCTAGAGATCATGAGCATAACA